AAAAGGTTCTCTTGCTGAATTCAAGAGCTAAAGAAGCCACCAATTGGTGACAGTGGCTCAGACTGTCCTTAGAGCTGATTTATTTAATTCAAAAAATTTTATTGGGTGCCTACTATGTGACATATACTATTTCTAGGCTCTGGGCATGTGACACTGCACAAGACAAGAATCTGACCTTGTAGATTCTAGTGAAGGTGTAATAGCCTCTGCTGAGCACCAGGGCTCGTATGTGACTTCTAAGACTGTTTTCTAATGATTCTGTGAAACACTGCAGCCTAATGCAACCATGATGTGGCCAACCTTCCTCTCCCTCCTCATTAATTTAGCAAAAGGCCAACAGTAGTACTATTAGGCTACGGTAAGATGTTGCTACTTTAAATCCTGCACTGTGACTTAACTGCATGTGACCAGCATAAAACCAACCCTGCTACTCATGTGTTAAGATCCTTCCCTTAGCAAAAACATTGAACAAGGTTGACGAACAAGGCTCTGCAGGATCTGTCCTGTGACCAAACTTGCATAGTACCACTTAGCATGCTCCAGATATATTAGTCTTTTTTCCAGTTACTTCAACTCACCAAACATTTTCATGTTTCTGGATCACTGCCCATGTACTTCTTTCTGTCTGCAATGCTTTTTCCTCCACTCTACACCTGGATAAACCCTATTCATCCTTTAGAGCGAAGCTAAATGCCACTGCTTTATTGCTGTCCTTCCTGACTCAGTCTAAAATGAGATCCCCTTCCTCCAATTAGCTTCTTTTTGTTTTGTTTTTTTGCGGTACGCAGGCCTCTCACCGCTGCGGCCCCTTCCGCTGTGGAGCACAGGCTCTGGACGCGCAGGCTCAGCGGCCATGGCTCACGGGGCCAGCCACTCTGCGGCATGTGGGATCTTCCCAGACCGGGGCACGAACCCGCGTCCCCTGCATCGGCAGGTGGACTCTCAACCACTGCGCCACCAGGGAAGCCCCAATTAGTTATTTTTTTACAGCACCGTCTATTTTTTTTTTTCATTGTGCCATGACTATAGGTTATGGGCTTGAATTGAATTCTTTCCATGGAACACAGGCTCCTGGGTCTAATATAAAAAATTACATATTAAAGAAAATTCAGCTTTGGATCATCAACATTAACTCACCATCAGCACTGTCATCATTATAATGACCAAAGCTAATATTACCAGAAGCTTTCTCCATGCCAGAAACTGGGACACATACATTAAATGGATTATTTCAGTTAATCCCACAATGATCTTATAAAGTAAGTAGTATCACTATCCCCATTTTAAAAATAGGAAAACTGAGGTATGGAGAATTTCATTAAGTTGTTCAATGCCTCAAAACTAGTAAGGGATGCAGCAAGGATTTGAAATCATGGGTCTGACACCAGCACCCGTGTTCTTTACTGCACTGACAGATGGGTGCTCAGCAGTCATGATGGAGACTCTGGGGTGCAGGTTTGACTTGT